AGTGTCACAAAATCAAAGATACTTGACTTCGAGCATTACCTTTAATTTGATTATTAGCAAGTCTCTTTGATTCTGCGTCAGAAGTTGACTGAATCATCTTTGCTCGTGTTTTGATAAGATACTTTAAATCAAAGTCTTTCGCATTGACATCTGCAGAAGGTATGTATCTATACAATTTCATTAGTTTGCGAAAGTAAAATGTATTAAAGTATCTACACAAATAAATAAATCATAGATAAACAAAGAACATTGCATGGAATAACATACTATAGAGGTACGATCGTAGACCGCTGTGGCGTTAGTTCACCGCACCCTCTGCCAGGTTCGCTGCGAGCGCGCGTTAACGGTTTTTAACACAGGTTAGCATAGGGAGTTGGGAGTCCTTATTTATTCTCTTGGTCCATGGTGGGGCCGGAAAAGGCCCAAAATGTTACTCCTCCTTATGATAAAAACACTCTAAAATTTTGTCCAATTATTTTAATTTTGAGCTGACATACGGTGTTTCGCGGCGGATCATGGTCACACGCAAATACCGTACATCAGCTCAAAATTAAGATGATTGGACAATATTTTAGTGCGTTTTTATCATAATTTCACGTTGGAACTAAATTTTCACACCAAAAGATAATTTTTCAGCGAGAAAAGTATTTCAGTCCGGGTACTAGGGCTCATTAAGGAGGGATGAAGGGTGCCCATTGTTCCTACCCTCAGAATGGACGGGTTGCCGGCCTATGGTCGCTAAACAAAAGAAGGTGTCCAGCGAGCGGTCCGGTCACCCGCGTTTGAGACTGATGCGTTGCCATTTACGGATTTTAATGCCGGATAAAAAGTCTCAGGTTTCAAGAAACGGATTAAGATATGTTCTACGTAGCTTAGCTAGCCAAATTTGGCAATATAATGTATTAAGTAGTGTAATAAGCACACAATCTAACCCCCTTTGTAAAATCCTACCCAGGATGTAAATTAAGTACCCATTCTATTCTATTCTACAATGTGTAAGCTTGATTTTATGAATGTTCAGAAAGCAAACAGGGTTTCTTTGAATGCAATTCAAAGGTAAAATAGTTTTTGTGACTCTATTTCATTATTATGATCATTTTGCTCTTTTATGTTTAATATATTCCCTATCTTCAGGCAATTGCAAATGAATCCCTATCGTACAGTTTACACTGAATTAATTCCCTTGTTTTTGGGCGCAGTGATTTTTCTCTGGGCCTTTAAAATAAAATATTATTCTATGAAACATCACATCCCTTAAAGGAAGATAAAATATTACATTTATTGCAATCCATTGGCTAACGATTGAGGTTTGTAATATTAGAAACGATGAGGTAACCGGTATTGCCAAAATTGTGCCTACCTCACATATGTCAAGCAGCCATACTTACCTTAAAATATTACAGGAATCTTTTCTTACCATTATTTTGGAAGTATAGGCAGAATTTATCGAGATGGCTTGCACTATCAGATTACCAACTGCGGCCGGAATAGAGGAAAATTTTGGAATTGTTTTACTTAAAACTTCACAGATATAAGATTGAACAACCGTCATTCTATAAAAAAGAGAAAGTTGAAGAGAATATTCAGAAAGTGAGGCAAAATAACAAAAATGAATATCAGTCAATATGTATACACATAGATATGAGAAAAATCAGAAAGAAAAAATTGCTTATGCTAACACTTTGGATGTTGCAAAATGCATACAAAATGTTGATCATCTTGCATGAGGAATTAAAAGCAAAAATATATTGAGAGTAATCCTTACCTGTTGGTGGTAAGTGTTCCAGTTTTGTCGGAACAAATGGCAGTAGCATTTCCCATTGTTTCACAGGCATCTAAATGTCTTACAAGATTGTTGTCCTTCATCATTTTCTGTTTCAGGGCAGAGAAATAAAAAGAGGAGGGTGAGTTACGAACAGATTAAAATCAAAATTAAATCAAAACGAGTTTTAAACCTGGGATAGAATACTAGGCAGAATAAACATTACCTTACCACTAGGCCTTAGTTCCGTATTAACACTTCATTCAAACCTTGTAGGACATGCTCCACATCGTCATTTCCAAAACCAACTCATGAGTAAGACAACAGCATTAATTGCTAACATTAGAACTGTAAAAGAGGGGTATCGATAGGAACCATTCTTAGACCCGCTCTAGCTCAATTTTCTCAACTTTGCAGTTTTGGCTCATGGAAGGTCTATAATTTACAGAATGCATCTTGATTTGATCATTCACAGTCTCTTGGCGGGTCTAATGCTGCCCTGAACATGGGTCTGAAGGGCAATTCTGGCAGAAAATGGAGGTGTTACGGGTCGGTGATTAAATGCCGAAAAATCCACATTTTAATCCAAATAATTTTTTCAAAATATTGACCCTCAATGAGCAAAAAAAAAAATGTAGAGTTTAGGAACGTCAGTAAGGGTTGGAGAAAACAGCCCTTGACGATACCTCTCCTTCATAAAAAAAGAGCAATTTTATCATAAAGCACCCAAAAATCAGTTTGATTTGTGATTTGATTCTGCCTAATTGTAGTTTTTAAACAAGACAGATTCTAGAATTAACATCCGCAGAAAATGTTGAATTATTAATACGTTAGAAACTGACACTTCAGCTTCTTCCATCTTGTTTTGAATGCGATTTTAGAGAGGAGCCATGTTTTGGGAGAACTTAACTTTTAACCCTGTTTAGTGTCTATTGAGCTTAATAAATTACTAGCGCATAAATGAATATTTTCGAGAAGAGGCTAAAGGAACTAATAAAGTCGAACATTGGTTGAAAGCTCACAACTTTGAGAGTATTCAATGAGTGGCAATGAAAAATTCTAGGGGCCTGTGCATAGTCATTTACTTGTTGCATGGAGGGCAGCTATAACAATTATCTCTATGACACTGCGACCAAACTGCAAGAATTACCGTCGCTAAGAATTCCAGATTAATAAGGTAGTTAACTGGATAAAATAAACTGATTAAACCCAATCTCTCCAAAATCAGCTTGGGAAAAAAAAACTGCTAAATAAATTCTAAAAAAATGCAGCTTAGATCTACGATTAAAATTTACCTTGACGGAGTAAGCTAATGAAAGAGTGACGGCTAGAGGTAAACCTTCAGGCACAGCAACGACAAGGACTGTCACACCAATGATTAAATGCCGTACAAATTCGTTTGCATAGATATTTTTCCAAGGCTTCTGTTCGATGACAAACGTTCTTACACAGAACTGAATGACTAAAATAACAACAGTGAACACAGCTATCGTTGAACCTGAAACAAAAATGAGAGCCCTTGGTTCCTAGCGACTGTGTACAGATGGCTACAGAAAAAAAGTGCATTAAAAACAAAAGTATCCGACTCTGGAAGATAGATTTCATAAATTCTTTTTCTTCCTTTAAAACCATTTATTTCGATCTTAGAACTTGAAACTGTCATAGTTCCAGTGCGGCTTAACCTTTTCCAGCATTGCTATGACGAAAAGATTGATGAAAGTCATGTATTTTATGTGATAATACTAATTAATTGATTTTGAATTTTCTTCAAATAAGGCCTATTTCAATGTTTGTGGTCAAAGTCAATAGGCATTCCACTAGAAACTGCGACTATCTTCAAACTTCTTTGCCGTCATAACTATGATATGATATGATATGATATGATATTTGTGGGCGCTTTTATCCGGAGATGTTATTGAATGCTCTTCTAGGGTCTGGTAAAAATCATTTAATTTTACATTTTTTGAATTGTGGCTTAAGGTCGTTGGTTTTATGAATCAGCTCGATTAAGAATTGAGTGACAGAAAAAAAAAAATTGCGCTTACCTGCATAACCAATTTGAATAGCTAGTTTGGTAAGTTTAGCTTGAAGAACGGATTTTTCTTTCTTCGTAGTTTCTTCTCCGCCGCCTCCACCACCGGAAGAAGGCTGGGTGTGATTTTCGGCAGCAGCGGGGATTGTAGCACCAATACGACTATTGCTGGTAATACCTTCATCATCTGGACAAAAAAGAGATGACCCGTTTATAACTAGCTCTCGACAAAAGTAGCCGAGAGATGGATAGAAAAATCACTCTTGTGATGAAGAGAAAGAACTCACTAAAGCATTTCCATAGCTTGAGATGAAAATTTTAAATCCATGGCAACATTTCAAAATCTTTGATCATGCTTTATGCTTCATCTTTGTACCTACTTTAAGTAAATTAACCAAAAGTTTAAAAAAAAAAAAGAAAGAAAAAAAAAAACCCTACAAATTAATTTCCTTCTGAAACAATGTAACACAAATTTGCAACATCAAAATCTGAGTTATGCATTTCTCGACTTTTGCTATTGATATTCATTATTAGTCAAATTAACGGTTGGTCTCAGAATTTGACCAACTCAGTTCGCAATGTTTATGTTACATACGTACGAAGCATTTAGGATCAGGTCTAATCCAGAATTTGAACACCCTTTGAGTGATTCTAAAATTGGTGCCTATTTTGAGTACAGAGCCTCCACAATTTATTCACACTGACATAAGAAAAACTTTAAACATGACAACCTTGTTTTTAGGTGACTGCGAAACACAGCGTATGATGTCATCCACCATGGTTGTACAAACCATGGTTTCCTCCACCTTGAATTCATCATTGTGGTACACACATTTGCACAGGCTGTTTCACTTAAAGTATGAATTAAAACAAAGTCGGAGGAAACCATGGTATGCATTGATGACATTATACACCGTTTTGTTCAAAGGGAGATATCTCCATTAATATTTGATGTGGAAAATTGGAATTAGAACAGATCTTATCTTGTCCACCTATGATCTGAAATCACCAAAATAAGATTCTATGACCAGCTCAACTGGTCCATTGGTGGTATTTTCTTGTGCAAGGCGAACTGATGAACTGATTAGAAGTCTGTTCAGTGCCAAAACAATCAATATTAGATCATGAACGAAGAGTGCAATCATCTAAAGGATTATGCGAGGGGATTTCTATCCATGCTTCTACAGAGAGTTCCTCTTTGTGTTTTGTACAAAGTCTATACATAAAATCGAACATACTAAAAGGATACTTTGTCACATTTGATGGTCTATATGGGTGCGAACAACAGGTGGTTTTTGAACTTGAGGATATACAGTTATTGACTAAATGTGATGAGTAATTCTTGTCGCAGCAGATTTTTTCAAAAGGAGACAGAACAACAAGTTTCCATTTAAATTTGAAATAAAATCATTGAATATGTGAGGAAAGATCATACAAACTTCGGTTAATGACGATAATTGGCTCTGAGTTACAAAGGACAATTTAGAGAAAATTTCCAGCGTTGGTCTGGCCTATCAATTTGCCTGGCAGTTTTTAGCCCCCTTGTTAGGATTTTTTCATTATGAGAATTAATTCTTATCTGAGATGATTGTTTTGACATTTTGACAAGCGATTTCATTTTTCAAGCCTTACGATAATGTAAGTACAACAAAGAGATCAGAGAATAAGATCCAAACAAAAATTAATAGAAGAATAATGAAAAATTAAAAAAATAGAACTTGAGGATAAGATATAAAAAGAAAGCCTTGATAAAAAAAAGAGATCAAAAGAGCACAGATACATAACTGATTAAGTTAAAAAAATTAACGAATAAAAATGAGGAAGAGAGGAAAAATATAAATTAATAATAAAAACTAGATAATGAAATGAAATGAAGGAATTGAAACGCCCAAACAAATGAAGCAGATAGTTAAACGTTGACGATCTTTGAACTTCCTACTGCCGACACAAAAATTGGAAGCTCAAAAAAGTGAGTTAGAAGCAGTAAAACAAATCGTCACCTTCCAGGCAAAGTATCACAAGCCCCATGCAACGTTTAAAAATTTCCGCCGCCATTATATTTTTTTACAGAGAAATTGTTCAACGAAGCTGTCCGAAAATTACACCGAATTTTCTTTGTGCTGCCGATAAAATTTAGTGAAATTTTCGCACAAATTCAACCAACAATTTCTCAGTAAAAAAATAAAATGGCGGCGGAAATTTTTAAACGTCACATGGTGCTTGTGATACTTTGCCTGGAAGGTGACGAAATTATCTCCTCAGTTAAAAAACGGAAATCACAGCAAATCATGGAGCCATTCCCAAGTCAACTCATCAGAGGCGGATCTAGCCATTTGGCAACACTGTGCTTCCATTGAAACCTATGCTAAATAATCGATTTTGTCAGAGCACCTGGCCCCTCCAAGAATCGATAAATTTCCGTAAGTTTAAATGGAGAAAGGGCAACGTTGCCAATTTACTGGATCCGCCAATACAACTCATAAACAAATAATGTTTAGTTAGTTCAAAAATCACATGAATTCAAATTTAGTTACAGCTATATTCCTTGTTCGTAAATTGATATTCTTCACATTAAACAAAACTGTTAATTTTTTTTTTCTCTCTGTAACTTCAAATATCCCTCAGGGGATAATCCCACGCTTGCCATCCCTAAATTCCCATCCACCTCAATCCCTAATCTAGCCAGCTAGCCAGCTAGCCAGCCCCAGGTGACCGTCATTCGAGACCATCAAACCCAGAGCCTCCCGATAGTAGAGCAAGCGTTACAATCACTACACCACAGGAAGCCGACAGTTTCCCATTTTAAAGTTGAGTATTAACATTTCTAACACTTACAGTGTGTCGAAAGTAAAATTTTGCACTGTTCATTTTCAGACGTTGGCTATCAGTTGAAGAAATGATCAAGTAACCGAGAGAAAAAGAGAAAGCAACAAAAAAGAGTGTTAGACGGATAGAAGAGAGATTACGTAACGTTGAAATTGATAATCACCTGCTAGGCTCTTCTTCTTCTTGCCCTGTTTTTTGGCTTCTGGACATTGAGAGGAGCATGCAACAGGGAAATGTATTAGTCAACACATAAAAGTACCACACTTTGATGAAACCACTACGCCTTTTTGGGAGACTGGGTGAAAGTTGTTTGAAAACCGCGGAGATAATTTGAGAAAGCGTAAGATATCGATGGCTTAACAAACAATACTGTTGTCCAACGCAAAAACGCCGTAAATCCATTCCAGATTTTAAAATCCTTCCTCAGACAAAATGCTGTGTTACAAGAAAACCTGGCCACCTCTATGCTCCATATTCTCAATTTAACTTCCTAATGGTGTACCGAAGTCATTGTAAAAGTACAAAGGATGGATGTTCGCAGCCTTTCTTGCTGTGGAGCATTTTGTCTGAGAAAAATGTGCCGAATCTGAGATGGAGGTACAGCTTTTCTGCGTTGGACGGTAGAATACTGCTTAACTGACAATTTTGGCAAAAGAGAGTTAGCAAGTTTGTTGCATTCTTTAGTATAAAATACACTGATGATTTTAATTTTTTTTCCAATTCTGTAGGGGAGCGCTTCAATGGCGCTGTAATATATGAAAAAATTGCAAAAATAACCTTAAAATTGCAAAAATGGCGAAGTTTTCTTTTCATTCAACAAAATCGACAGTTTGGAGTTAGACGGTATTGTTTGTTAGCTATTGGTATCTATTCATCACTCATGGATGTGATTGAAAAATTACTATAAGTTATTCTTAGTGGATTTTGTCATTTGAGAAACTTAAGTCAACTGACGACTCGTTTTGCCTCGATTTCGGAAATTACGCAACCACAAGAGGATAATGTAAAATTCTTAACACAAGAATATAATACCAAATGGGTTAAAAGAGACATCTCAAGGGTTTTCAAACATTTTCCCCTGAACATTCAAGACATTAAAACAACGTTGAGGGGGTGCATAATTATCATTGCGGAAACAAGCTATCATCATAGTTTTGAGGAGCGTTAGTTTTCAATGATGCTGATGAAATAGGCTACAAGTTTCTGCAAACCGTATTCCAAACTCGTCATTATCTGTAAACGGTTCATTCAGAACAAGACAGCTCTCAATTTTTTTGGGGAAGCTCTTTTATCAGATTTCACACATAAATCCCATTGAATTTTGTGTTAAATATTAATCCTATCTACGATGATAGCTTATCTGTATCTATTAGTTTCAATTTTATGAAGAATATCCTTTTTAGGTTGACATTAAAATGTAAGATACAAAAAGTGTTGAAGACAATGGAGACACATTTTTTAGAACATACATCTGGAAAGGAAAGAAAAAAAAGAACATTTTCTCCGTTTTTCAGTGGGTAGGGTGTCAAATGATTCAAATGGATGATCCTGTTATCGGAAATTTTAAAAAAAATTCTTTTGATTTCCAATTTAAGTATACATGTCCTTTTTCCTGGCACTTCTTGTTCCTTTTCAGACTGATTCATCTTCGATCATCGGACACCATAATTTATGAAATAACTGATGAATTTTCTGTTTAATGCTTGTGAAAAAATAAAATTAACTTTCTTCAGTTATTTGTTGTGGCGTATATATCATTTATGCAATCCACTTTGAAGTTTTCCCCCCATTGTCTTTGGTACGAAGAGAGGGAAATTGAAGGAGGCAGGGGCTAAAGAATGCTGTTCCTCATTGGTACAAATACAGATCCGTTAAAACGCTGATGAACAAAAAGACCTTCCATTGAGGTTATAATAATTAGGGCATTTCAATGACATGAACTATCACCCGTTAAGCCTATGTTATTGAAAAATAGTAAAGTCAATGACATAATCCTCAGGGATTTTCTGAAGGGAGGAGATATAGACCTCCCCAATTCTCCTCTTGACTATGTTCTGAGGATTAAGTAAAATTTAACACTTCTTCTCTCTGACAATTTCCGAATTCAAGGTTTGCTGCTGGAAAGATGAATATATCCTAATAAATAAATTTAAAAAAAAAAAACTTCCTTGATTAAAAGCTTGGATGAAACTTCAAATAAATTTCAAAATTTATCAAAAATTTAAAAATAGTTTCAGTTCTGGCAAAAATACAAAAATCTTATGGAGAGATGCATGTGTTTCACTTTTCAAGAGTTGCAAAAAATGTGCAGCAGGTTCAAATCGGCGAGCTTTATTTTAAGATTTCTGTAAGTAGGCCAAGGTTAGAGGAAATTCACTTCGGTGACAAAAAAAATAATGACCTCAGTCAGTGCAGGATTCAAGCAAGATGTCATAGTTCACTATGAATCAAATACAGGGGTCCATGCTGTACAATCACGTTCAAAGTCAGTTGCCAAATTGAGTGGTTAATTAAACCACTTGAAACTAACCTCAAAATTAATTTAGAGTAATTGAGAGTACGTAAAAACCGATTTGAATGGACCAATAGACAAGGTACGAATTGAACCATTTTAATATATGTTTCCTTTGCAAAATTTCACCTAAAACACGATTTGCACGACTAAAATAACTGATATTGACTTCAAACTGCGATAATGGCGTTTTCATTCAGCACTGGTTACAAGAAATTTGGATTTCCCACTCATAACAAAAACATAAGTATACCTGAATCAAACCCACATTGTAACTGTTTGGGTAGGCTTCTCAGCCGAGAGCAATGTTCCTTCTCCACCCTGTGTTTTTCAAAGTGTAAACAACACGCGATAGCTGAGCTAAGGTGCAAACATTGAGGTCATGTTTCTATACCCCGGACTGTCACGGTAATGTGTAGTGTGCAATTTTCCTATGAGCAGGAAGTTTGAATTTATGCATTCAAAAACTTTAAAATCCTTGCTTGGCCATTTCTTACAGTAATTTTTGATGAACAAATCGTGTTTTTTGTCAAATTTTAATGAGAAATCAAAAATCATACTTCTAAACTTGGCACCTTCTCTATTGGTCCATGATTAACAATTAAAAAGAATTGAGCACAGTTCGATTATTTGGTGACACTTGCAACTGACCTTTTTTAGGTGAAGTGAAACCTACTATATTTCCCATATTTTGATTTAAGCTGGGATTTCTTTGACCACACAATCTGGCACCAATGTTTGAAAACTATGATCAACTCTAATTTCCGATCGAGAGTGACAGAGGTATTATCATGCTGCTCGGGGGTGAACACAATCTCTATGGGTCCAGGGGTAAACAAATGATACCTACTTAATTCGATAGCGTTATACTTGACACGGCGAGAGCTCTTACCTTTCCGTTTCTGCTTAATTTCTTGCTCTTGTTGATCGGCAGCAGCACCAAGGAGGGTGAAGATGATACCCGCTTGTGAGTTGACACCGACAGCAGTCACAAGCATTTTCCCACTCCCTTCCATCACATGCGTCCCGGACAGCACCATTGGGTCAAACGACTCCCCTTTCTTCACATGATCCGACTCTCCGGTCAGCGAAGATTCGTCTACTTTGAGGTCATTGCTTTGAATCAATACTCCGTCAGCAGGAAGCAAGTCACCATACTTGATCTGAAAGAATTAAAGATAATTCATAACTCCAGAGTGGATGATGTTATTAAAATTTCAAATAATGAGTGTTTTTTCTGAGGAGGTCTGTTCCGCACAAAAGATTTCAAGGGTAAAGTTTCCGGGAATTCCTATTGAGGACATCAGAGAAGTCTAAGATCCACTTCTTGAAGCAAAACGTGAATGGTCTGTATTGCGTTATTTCACATTATCCATGATCACAGGGAGTTTTTCCTTTTTCCTCTTTGTTTTTCTCAGAGAGTATAGAAGGTTAGAGGCCCGACTCAATAGTAGAAAACTGAAACAGAAGTTGAAGAAGTTGCGTACGTTGACACGAGAGCACGCTAGTACCTACAGCTTGCTCATTGGTCAGTGATAACGCTAACTACTGCAAATCTATTGTTAACGAGTTGCAGATGCTAACGCGCTCTCGCGTCAACGACAAACTTGTGTTTCAGGTTTTCCCTATCCAGTCGGGCCTCTAACCTTCCATACTCTCTGGTTTTTCTTCATTTGCAAAGGGAGACATGGCAAACCTATCCTAATTAAAAGAGCAGCCCTGCGAGCTGTTCTAAACCTTGTTATTTCAATCATATTTCAGCATTAGCTTTCCCCAAGCACTTTTTCCGAATAGTTTAGAGGTCTCACTTTTTACTTCTAAATGCTTAGAGCAATTGAAATCCATGTGAAAAATATTAATAACGGCTTGCTTGATGTTCGTTTGCTGACCACCCAAATTGTGAGTTACAGAAAATTATTAAGACTGTTGTGACATGCTCAACATAATTTTAAGGCGATTTTACTACTGTATAGTGTAAGCTGGCAATGTTGTGATGAAGTCTTAAACTTGAACTGCTATCCTGAATATTGGACGAAAGTGTATCTTAAATATGTGGGAAAGTCAGGCGGTAAAGCCTGAATAGAAGGGTGGAGTTTCTTACCTGACAGATATCACCAACAACTATATCACCAACAGAAATTTGTTTTAATTCACCCTGCCGTATTACAGCAAACTTGTGTTCGCCTTCTATCCTGTTTTGAAGGCCACGGAACTGGCGTTCTTTCGTATAATCATTGAATGCTGTGACTATAACAACTACTATTACAGATATTAGAATGGCTAAGCCTTCAATCCAACCATGCTTGGCTTCATCTTCATCAATGACTAGAAACAAAACAAATAAACAAACATCAAATTAGAATCCCGCAAACTTCTATTTTTCTAATCAGTGACCTGGAATTAGAATCAGAAGACTTGCCACCTTAGAACTGCACATACTACTATTAATATCTTAAATAATCTAGTCGAAATAGTTCATCTGCTTTTTGCTTCCTCCACATACACATGGAAGTTCCATCGATAGGGTTTGCTTCAGTGTTCCTTAGCGGATTCTCTGTCAATTCATGATGCAAGGATGAAAAAAAAAATTCTGCTACTTAATAGTTGATGGTTAAATTATTTCTGATACACTTCTAATTCACTAACTAATCTTTGCTTCTCAATTGTACACACAAGACTAGTCTTTAGAACTTAAATTACTTTACATATAACTATACTCCTTGCTATGCACACCCACCAACTGAAGAAAGACCCTCCTCACATTACATCTAGCAGCATACATTCTGATTGCAAGAAGCAAGAAGCCTTTTGGTGATTTTATCAACACCTGAGTTGGAGAAAGGGATACCGGCTAAAACTTTGTCTTTCCGTCTCACTATCTTCAAGTTTAATTCCAGCAACAATAAATGAAATGGAAACTTTATATCATAAGCACAGCTACAGATTAAGAACTAGGTTCTATGTAAGCTCATGTAATCCATGTCACAATGTCAACGCTATTAAGATAGGGCAGTGAGAACCATAGATATTTTGACGAAATACACTTGCAATCAGAAGGTAGCAGTAACTAACTCTACCTCAGAAACACAAACCCATTGAGAATAAACAGAGTAGACAATTAGACACATGTAGGATTTCAGGTAATCTGCTAAATTAACAAAAGGAAACACATTCTGTAGGTACCACCATCAAAAAACAACTAACAAGAACCGATCTCATTCGTATTGGAAGGAGAGGTACACTTTTGTGCATTCATGGCTAACTTCGTCATGCACAATCCTATTTATTAAAATAATTCAGAAATTATTTACATTGATTAAGTGAATTATTCAATCGCACAGAATTGGCTTCCCCTAAACCCCCCGAAAGTATACCAACTTTCATTCTGTATTCAATTTTTTCTCATGCAAACATCTAGTGACACAATTAGAGAAAGTTTACGGCTGATTGTCACATAATATTACATTATATATTGAATTTTTCACATGATTTCTTCTAGAGCAGCTCAGGGGAAATGCAGGACAAGATATTTTGTAGACATTTTTTCATCTTCAGAGCGGTGTAACTAAATAAATTGATAAGAGGAAATCCAAAACTTTTCTCAACTTTTTTTTCATCGATAGGGCAATTGGTTTAAGTCTGTCAAGACATTAATTAGTGTAAACTATCATCGACACCGCAAACTGGGAATCTTTTTGGCTAGTTTCACAAACAAAATAAAGGTTTCCTTGTTCAAGAATGTTAACGCACGACATGAAACTGAAACACGAAACAAGTTGTGGTGCTTAATTCATTGCAACAGAGAGAACACTTTACTGAATTGTCCTCTTTTTGTCAAAATAAAAAAATACATCGATGAAAACACTGATCGATATGGTAGGTAGAAGTATGAGGAAGATCTTTAAGATAGGAGGTACAATTAGAAATTGAAATATGTACCACAAAAACTTCAAAGGGAACAAATTACTAAAGTAACCATGCAGACAGCCTGATCTCAATATAGAATAGAATAAGTTGTGTAATTAAAAAAATTTAAAAAAACACCACCTCACAGATGTGGAATGTGTGGAGGAAACAATCGATTGGGAAAAAATGTGAGCACGCAGACGCATGGGCAGTAAATTCTAATTTTTTGCTGGATTCACGTTTTATAAGAAAAGAAACCTTTTATTTCTTGGCGTAAAATGGTTCTACAGACTTTATTTCAGTGTTCTGTTGCCTCCTAAATTTAATTGATAATTTCTAAATTTGAATTTTTTTTTGCAATTCAACAGACTGTGCAAAATATTTAATATATTGCGAAATGATAAATTGTGATGTGAAAAAATATGTTCATATTGGTAAGTTAGAGTGTAAAGATCGTAACAACTTTTTTGCCAATTGAACATGTTACGGAATGACCTACTTGGCAACAATGATGATTAGATTTCCAAAAAGACGGACAAATCGTCTTTCATAAAGCGCATCTATTAGGCAAGTTGAAAGTGCAAATAACTATTTTTCCTTACATGTCAATGGCGATTCTATCTCTGAGATACAAAAATGATTTAGAGCCAGATTTCAGCAAAATGATCATTACAAAAATCGAAAGATATATAATTTCCTCACAATGCGACGAATAAGAGACAAGAAGACGAAGAGATATACAGAGTATTTTACGGGAGAAACTACTGAGCACATGATGAGAAGAATACAAAATGGGTCAGAAAATTAAAGACAGTGATAAGATTAGTTTAAGAAGAGCATATGCCAGAGAGGAAGGACTATTGCATAGATGTGACAGACAAACACTTGGGAGGGTTATTCTGTTGTTGTAAGGCGTTCCGTAAGAGTGGTGACTTTGTAAATGGCGGGAAGTAACTAAAAGTTGTGGTGCAAAGTGCCGACTCAATTTACTTCCTTAAAACTTACTGCTTGGCTAGTAAACGATCTTTCATCTTTAAAAAACTAAATTAACTTTTGTGATTTCCTGAAAATTCATTGCTTGTTGAGTTTGGCACTTATCAAAACTGTTTGCTCAATTTCACACTGGATTGATGTTCAAGAGGAATGTTGATGGCCTGAGTGCAAAACCACGGATCTACATTGCGGTGTTTCAAAATTTTCGCTCCTATTTTAATGTTTCAAAAGGAAACAAGCCAACTTTACAGCTTGAAATTCATACAGAATAATATACTAACAGCAAGAAAAATAGAGGAATCCTCCAAGAAATCATGTTAATTAGTTTTCCAAAGAAAAAATAAAGTATGACAGGAAACTTGCGATGTCAATAACGGAGAAACGTGCTTTTGCACCTTAGCCATCCATGCGCTTTCTTTTTTCTCTAAATTGCAGCATTCAACACCAAAAAAGACTTGATTAAAATCTGAAAGCCCTTGACTCTTTCATAAGTAACCAAAAACCCTTTGATTGAGCTGTTCACGCTGAACAAAGGACATACATCGCCATTTAAAAATTTTCCCTAGTGGACAGAAGACCATCAATTGAGTGTCTACACTATTACTTATTGTTTGACAAAAGGAAGTGAACAGAGAGCATGCATGAGCTCGCTAAAATTATAGGACACGTAGTATACAATCTGACATGATGTGTTCATATTATACCTGCACCAAGTCCTGCACAAGAGCAAAAGGAAATAAACAACAAAAAAAACTTTAATCATAGAGCCGACGCAAGGCATAAAGATTGGAAAACATCTTCGAAGTTCAAATTTTAAGCATTACGCAAACTTACTACAACTGCAGCTCGTCAAATATACCAAACAAGAGATTAAAACTAAGGTAGAATGGAAGCATTGAACGTAGTATAATACTGCAAAACGTTTGCTTTAAAAAAAGGCATCCAAGAAATGGACTGTGGTAAAAAGCGAGGAGTAAGCTCTCTGCAAATTTTGATCATCTCATAATAAATCAGGGTTGCCACAGAACTAAGGAACTTCTCTGACACATGTTGGTAAAATTCACTGACAATTGAGGATACCCCAGACAGTTAGTGGACATAATTTGAAATATTTTTCAAGCACAATTTGTTCTTCGAAACATCAAACCCATTCTAGAAAGCAAATATAGATAACAGAACGATTTTTTCCTGACAATTCGGTCATTTCCTTTGACATTTCTAGGTTTTCCCTAAATTTTTAAAAATCTGTGACATTTCCCAGCTTCCTTAATTCTCTGACTGGGGCAACCCTGTAATAATACATAATTTTAAAAAAAATTTGAAGAGGATCACGCAAAAGCATAATGCTACTTTCAATTGAAAAAAAAACTACATTCATTTCCTCAGCAATTTTTTTTTATGTTCTTTGTTTATTCTCCCCTTCTATAAATAAATGTGATCGCCCCTGGAAAAAGGAACTGTAAACGATGGAAGCAACTTCATCGGTAGAGATACGAGTATTTTTCTCAAGTTGGGCTGAGACGTTTGAAATTGAATTGGTGGAGGAAAACTCTTTCGTATCCCAAAAAATCAGATATAGCGGTTTTAGCTCATTTTTGTACCAATAGAGGATGTTACATTTTTATTCACTTGTTTCTTGATAGTGCTAATCATGAGGGATTACAACCTGGCACAGCTTCTTCTGGAAACTGCGTTTTCGTAGCCACAAACTTCAATCACTTTTTAGGGTTAAGCATTTAATGAGCAGCCGGTGTGGTCTTTTTTCCCAGAGACGAGCAGAAACGCATATGAATACAGGTACTCCAAAGCTAAGAAGCATGTGACCCATTGACTTAGACAGCTGATTATGAGCTGGACTTGCTCACACTGCGCTAAACTAGAACTCATGCGCTTTCGAAGTATCTCATTCCGCAACTTAGCAATGCTTTTTTGGTATTTTTTACATGATATTAATGATAAGAGCAATGTGACCAATTGAGCTCTGTCGAATGGAGAAAAAGAGGTTTAAAGTTTTGCTCCTGCATAAGACTCAATGTAAAAGATGAACTTCAAGTTCAATTTCTTGAACAAAAATTTCTTGCAAAATTTGCTCCACAAAAACTTCGAATTTTTGGCGATAGATAGTAGAGCAGTGGTTGAGATCAAAACCACTCATAACTCAATTTTTTCCAAAATGTGGGTTGGTTCCTTTCTGCTTAACTCGGTCCAATTAAAAACCTTACAATGGTTAGGTTAAGATTGTTTTCTTTCTCAGAATGTATTATCCATGCTAAAAATTCTAATTTCCAGCTGTATATGATGAGTTTCGTGTGTATTCGCGGAGAGATTAATTGGAAATTTGTGGCACTCTCTTACAAAAGTATTAAACAAGGCAATGGGTTACATACGTTCCACTGAACTGATTCACTTAAAATACGAAATTAGATCTAGAGCCTATAAAATACATAATAAAAAGCAACAAATCAATTGAATAGAACTTCAAAAAGGTAAAAAATGTTCAATTAAAGATACTGCACAAGGTAAATTGTACCTCAGCGGGGGAAAAAATTAGGGTGACTAAGAATAATTACTGGATAAAAATAAATAAACAAACAAAAAATAACAAGATTGGTTCAAAACTATAAATACTTAGAAAACCATCACCTGTGGAGATAACACAGACAGTTCAAAACGCAGGAAATCAGAGTAAAAAAAGAGAAAATAAATAGGAAAAAACAAACTTGGGTGAGCAAAGTAAGGGACAAGTACGCCACCGTTAAGAATAGGCGATATCAAAATGGCAAGGGGGATAATTTACAGAAGAACAAATGGACCGTGGAAATAATAACATACTCAAAGGGATAAACAAAAAGAAAGATCCACCACCTCTCAGATTTGGGCTATCCACAATAGAAACAGGAGGCCAAAGAAAAAAAAGAGAGGGAAGGATCATGCTAAAATATTTATAAAATTTTTAATACCTGGTCCAACAGCTGTTCGTCGCATGAATGAACAAAAAAAAGAGGAAAAAACACAAAATCAGAATGAATCGAAGTAAATTGCAGGTTTAAATCAGTGATTGATAATTACTTAGAAATCTTAGCAAATAGTAACAAATCTATTAAGAAAAATCGTTGAGATGATTCCTTTTAAGATAGAATCATAAGCTATTTAAGCATAACAAACTGTGCTTTCTCACTTTGTGATCACACTAGTAACATTAGCCGGAGTCTCCTCTTCAGAATCACATAGTCCTGAGCTCATCTCAATCTCCACCCCCATCCTAATTTTTACTAGTTCTTCAAAGAAATATAGATGTTCTCTCAAAATTTGCGTCAACAGAACGACGGAATTAGGTAGCCACAGGACCGTCTTTCAATGATTGTAGTTTATATAATAGAAAGAAATAAAGATTTGTTTTTTCATTAAATCTTTACGTCTAAGGTTGACAAGATATTGTCCTCTGAAAACTGTTGTGAATTTTGTCGTCAATTAAGTTTTCCATACGCTACTTAGGCATCCATTGATAATGGACTGAAAAACTTGGCGTTTGAGCAGAATGTGACATTTTTGGCTGATCTAAAGGCTGCAACCATTGAACAGAAAGCTACATACTGTGTCTTAAGTTACAGTTCATGAGACTGACAGTAATGCCAGAGATGGATCCAACAATTTGACAACACTGGCTTTCTGCCATCTAAACCTATGTTAAATAGTCGGTTCTTGATGGAGAACTTGGCCCCTTCAAAAATTGATACATATCCATAGGTTCAAATGGAGGAACACAGAGTTGCCAATTTGCTGAAAAATTGCAGTAATGCGAAATATGAGACAAGGAAAAATAGAATTAATTTTCTGAGCGCTTGAAGCAGAAATGATCATGGGCAGATCTGGTAGCCAGAAAATCAAATACCACTGTGTAAAAAAATGATGATATCATAACAATGGTCACCTTCTGTCACTTTCTGAGACCTGTACATCCACCATTTCTAATTTAATGCTCTTAAGAGAAAAATTGAGAGTGAATCAGAAATAAAACTCACCTTCTTCATCGGCAGGTTTGTAAAAAGCTAATAATAAGGAAACAATAGCTGCTATTTCTAAAATTATTAAAGTTACATCTTGCAACGCTTCATATACAAGTTGCCAAAATGTTTTAGGAGGCTTAGGAGGAATTGTATTTGAACCGAAGGTTTCTGTTCTATGTTTGAGGTCAGCTGCTGACCCGCTAAGACCTGAAAAAGGAAAAAGAAACAATTAATTTACCAAATAAATTTTGATTCTTGAAAGCCTAGTTACGAGATTACAAAAACCTAAACTCAAGCATGGCCTCATTTTCTTAAAGGAGTTGAACAATAAATAATAGGGCATTCATGATTTTTAGAAGAAGCCAGCAGACATTATTATATGGTAAAGTGAGCGTATCCTCTTGTTTGTGGTCAAAAAAAATTAGAAACTATTCCAAGAATTTTAGAATTTGGTGGATAGGTTCGTTTTTCATCGATAAAATGTTTTTCCAAGAAGACTTCAGGAAGAACTACAGCCCCTGCCCCCCCCCCCCAAATTTTAAAAAAAAATAATCAGTTTTCCTACCCTGTTGATATCACTTTCAGTGACCAGAAAACCAACTTCACACAATAAAAGATCCAAGAACCACTGAAATCCCTGTTTGATTTGACATTTAGATATTTTAGAGGCTGTGAGAGAGTTTCGCACTAAAAATGCTGAGGGGGAGGGGTGGTTCCCATTTTACATGAGTTTTAGCACATAGATGTCCCTGAATTAAGTAGATCATGAAAATTCAACTTGAAGGGTACCCAGATAAATTGATACGGAATGAGTAGCCAAGTATTTGTCTTTTGCTCTACCTGAAATGATTTTGTCGACTGAATCAAGCAATGTTAAAACTGAATGTGTCCACTGTTAGATGAGTCCTAGAACACAGGCATTCATTGCAGCATTCTCATGGAGCTTAAGGCTCATCAGAAAATGGACTCATTGGTTTTCACATCCACGAATTCAACTGTTACATGGAAATTCGTAGATATTCAATGCAGACTATAAAGCAAAAATCTGTTTTCTTGTCCAGCTTCTGGGACTTGCCAAAAAGAAAAAAGGGTTTCTTCTGGTCTCTTAAGACCTGGGGATACCTTGTAAGAGATAGCTGCGATAAAGCAGTATTACAGGACCGTTCAGTCTAAAAATGAGTCTTACCATCTGTGGGTGAGGTATAAAGCTTTTTACAAACTTCTTGAACTCCTCCATATTCTTTGACTTTATTCACCCCTTCGGCTCCGCGAAGCTCCATGAGCTCGCGCAGTTGCTTGAGTGAGATTCCATACTGTGCCGGCCGCCCGTCTATAGTCGCCATCAGACCCACTCAACTTTTTTCACCTGAAACAAAACACAAACAGAATTAGTTCACAACTAGAAAATAACTTGTACGATTTAGGTACAAGGTTGTAGTGCATTGGCAATGAATAATAATAGGCGCAGAATAATTTCACTGTAAAATAAATTGTTAAATCCTAAAGAGACTTTATAATGATACCTGGCACTTACCAACAAAAATTCGGAGAAAAAAAAACTCAATTTGAAAAAGCGCTTGACCTTTTTAAAAACTGGCAAAAAATTATGACAGTTATCAGGAGTCTACAGCTCTTGATGCAAATTCTGCGTCAAAATTGATACAAATTTACCATATGAAATGAGAAGGGACAGGGGTATGACAAACTTTTCAATGGTTCTTCTTTTAAGTAAAAGGGTACTTGACAGTGTTCGCGGACCTAAAGTCAGCAAGACTGACAAGTGAAACATCGTCGGCGAACGGATAATTCATTCAACTGATGTCACATGGGCCTTATTTTGAACAGGCTCACCGATGAGGTAACAGTCCATTCTGCCAATTATTCATTATCCTTAGGTACGTTGCAGAAACATTACCCTGACTGATAACATATAAAAAACAAGTCTACAAAACAATTTGATCCTTTCATTAAATTATGTATAGATGAGGCACATATTTTCTAATAGCTACTGCAATGACTGCAATTGGGAGTCAAAAACGCCCGATACGACATGAAATGTGACAATAATCATCCACCTTCACAGAAGTTACGACAATTTAAAGCTCAGTGTAAAATCTCCAAGGCTTTGGAGTAAACTTTTGGAACTGAAGAAAGGAGAAGGTTGATCTGCTGAAGTTTGATGAAATGATGCTGAAATGGGCAAACTGAAAACTTAAGTATGTGGATTGAAACACACAACCATGGGAAGAACAGGTTCAACAAGTTGTGTTTTGGCAAGTTATGTGTTTACAGTGATAACCATCACAAGAGCACATGATTTTCATTTGAAGGAAGGCAGATGGTCTTCGAATCGCCTTAGGTACGTGGCCCCAGGTGGAATGACATGAATTGGGATTGAATGAAAGTTGTGACTTACTTTTAGCGACTGAACGAAAGCTATGATTGGACTCTTAACCTATAAGTGGAAAAGACGCCTACCAGAATTAACATACTCCAACACTATACAACGAATTAATTCGAAGTCACTGTTGAGCGGGATACTGAAACAGGGACCAGGGATAGAGGGGTAGAAGAATAAGTCCGAAAAAACAGTGATAATAAACGTAAAATCAAGATTTCATCAACCACGGTCACACTGAGGCAAGACATCACACAACATCAGAATGCCGAGTTTGCTGAAACCCAATCACATTTCACAACGACTTCCCCTCCCCCTCACCATGTCCACCATTCCGCGGACACCCTTCGCCCCCGCCAATCCGCCTCCTCACATTCGGTCCTGATTTCAAGTTCCTTGTCGGACCGGCAAAATCTAGTAAACAAACACTTGAAGTGGCGCGAAGTTCGAAAACACGTGGGACTCTGTAGTATCGTGAGAGACCCAAGACCCGCATTGATAAGTGGTTTGATGATTCCCATTCATAATATCTGCCGTCGACGATAGAGATGTATTGACAAGTTTTGTCCTCTCGGGGTTGAGATGCGGAACCCTGCNGGGGGGGGGGGGGGGGGGTTGTTACTGAGTTGAAGAACTTTTATTTAGTCCGTGGTTAAACCCAGTTTTCTCTCCTTTCCTCGCCAATCATAAATGATTTTCACCACATATGAACCTCCTTGAAGTTCCATAGAATCCTGATATTCTGTTTAACCGGTGGAAGTACATACAAAATTACGTCCTCATCTGCCTTTGAAATATGAACGATTGAAAACGCAGAAAAGGGTCTTTATAGATAGAGGGAAATTCGCCAGTTGTTCTTGCTGGAAAGTCAGAACATTTTTTGAGAGAAGAGGTAAAATATAAGTTGCGTTTGACCCTGAGAACCATTTTTCTGCAAGAAAACATTTGTTAAAGTTTTGGGCGTTAGGGCGTTTTTGCATTGAATTCCAATTAATACGATTTCACATTTATGGAAGGAGGGTATACTTTGCGGGTCTAAGCTGCATTATTGAATTTTTGCCATTCACTGAATCTTGCTTCGAATGAGCGGCAAACCTATGGCTCGCCTTCAATTTGAACAGGTATGCAACTATTCGAACGTGCAGGAGCTGTTATTGCCGAACCGGTTGAATTGAGGGCGGACAACGCTGCGCACCGAGGAATGGGATTCTATTCCCATTGAGCGAGAGAATAGTTTGCCTCCATCCAGCGATCAAGCGAAAATTTATCCTATTCGTGTTAAAATATTCGCATCGAAAGAGTCGGAAAATTTCGAATTCACACGAGAATTTTAAATGAGAAATAGAGGCGGTACAAATTTAAGAGGTTTTGTTCTTCAATTCACAAGAAGTAAACCTACGATTTTGACAAATTTTAAAGTGCCACCTGAGAACTTTGCAAAACTCGCAATTCTTTTTTCTTTTGTCGGTAATATGAACCGAATATACGGTGTTCAATATCAGCCGTATTGTTCAGTTCATGCGACCGCACTCTCCGTTCTGGGAACTGTATATTCGATTCAAGCAACCGAGCATTCGTACCGAACGGAACTAACGAAAAAGCTCGGTTGCATGAACCGAATATACAGTTCCCAGAACGGAGAATGCGGTCGCATGAATTGAACAATACGGCTGATATTCAACACCGTATATTCGGTTCATATGCCCGAACTTTTTTTTCTCAGAATTTAGCATCAAAACAAGATTCCGGCTATATTCTTGTACATCAGGTAAAAATAATAAGATCTGCCCCAACAGCAACTTTCTACTTTCAATATTAACCTGGGTATCGCGCTTTGAAAAATACGGTTTATGATGCATCTGCCACGGTAGTGACACCCTCGGTCTCTTTCACATCCCTCTTATCAGTTAGTATGAATAACATGACATCATGACTTGCGCAACTGACCCCCCCTAGTAGCAGTGGCTGTTGAGAAAAGTTGTGAAAAACTCGTAAATTTTAAGAGATCTCTTAAAATTTACATTAAAACGTAAATCTCTCTTGAAAATTACGTAAAAAAACTCTTGAAATATTCGTATAAAGAAACCCTTTTTGGGGCTTTTTTACATAAATTTGAAGAACAATTTTAAGTAAATTTTTTGCGTTAATTTTAAGTAAAATTTACGTATTTTTTTTTAGCATCCTGCGAGCAAAAACGAGGAAAAAATTGGTGAAAAGTATAAAAGGAACACTTGCAGCCCATAAAAATTGAGGATATAGTTTATTGCTTTTTACGTAAATTTTACGTTTTCTTTGAATTAAAATAACACTATTTTTTTACTTAAAAGAATTCCCCAGAAAGGTTTCCCAAAACGAGTATTTTAAGAGTTTTTTTACTTAAAAATTTACGAGCTCTTAAAATTTACAAGTTTCTTACATTTTTTTGGACAACTTTTTGTACAACTTTTTTTAAGAGCCATTGCTACTAGGGCTTTTTCCTATCAAATATATCCAATGAAAGATTGTCGTTCAATTTTCTCCAAAACTGTATTTTCCACGTTCTATTCTCTTTCTCGGCACATTCAGCACAGCAAAGGCAAGGAAGAAGCCACTTGGGAGCGCTGACCACTCGCGATAAGTGGCCGGCAGCGCTCTCAATCTAAACATCCGAGTCAAACATATTTAAATGCATGCCTACGGATCTTTTTGCGTATCCTCCTAATCCACTTGCCTCGTTTATTTACCCACAGATTCGATTAGAAGCCGCGTCGCTTGATGCTAGTCGCGTGCCTCCTCCGCGCAACCGACTCATCGGTCATCGTCATGACCATCGAAACGCCGAATTTTGTATGCTCTTCCACTCGGAGACGCAACATCCATCGATGAGTCCGAACCGCACCACCGGCCAATCAGAAGCGCAAAGCCGGACTTAAGTGCAGTCGAGGCTCGTCTTTATTACACTGGAAAAAAAAAACACATTGGATTTAGACTCCAGACTCTTGAAAACATTGACAAGAAAAAATACTCTTGATTCAATCAGATTTTTGCTTGAATCAAAACGGAATCCGCTTAAATTAAGAGCCTTGGTTCTTGATTTAAGCTGGATTCTTATAGAATCAAGAGTACTTGTCGATGTTTAAAAGAGTCTGGACTCTAGATCCAATGTGTGTTTTTTTTGTCCAGTGTAAGTATGGTGGATGGACAACGACCGACAAAAGTCGGCCCCTGAAATTACACCGGTTTCAGCAGTCCAGTTCGCTTGAGGATAAGGCATTTTTCAGACGCCGCGCGCCGCCCTGAATAGCCGAGGAAGGTGCGTGGGTGACAAATAGGTCCATC